CTGCCCCCACGTCCTGCCTGCCGCCCCCTCGCTCCCGGGGAGCACCCTCTCCACCAGAAGGACGCGAGGGAGCTACTAGTGTTTTTAAAAGGCCAGAGTGGGCAGAACACAAGGTTTCTAGGAAAACGGAGGCTGTGCCAGCCACGCAGACAGACAAGCACCGAGCGGAGGGACTGGTGCGGATCCTGCCAACAGCAGGACTCCTGGTGACTTCAGTGGAGCAGGAGCCAGGCATTGACAGGAGATTGTGCAAAGCAGCTGGCTCTGATCTGGTGTGTGATACGACAACTGAGAGCAGCAGGGGCGGTAAGGGGAGTGAAGGCAAATTCCAGAAATTATGTTGCCCCAAGTCTGACCTCCGCACTAGAGGGAAAAAAAAAAGCGCCACAAAGCTACTGAGCAAAAGCAGCACCTAAAATAAGTGAGAAGGATATGGTAATAATAAATGAACAGAGTATTTTGTAAAGCTAATTGTGCCCCTCTGGTCAGTTGACTTCTATGAGCAATGAAAAAAGCTGATCAGGAAAAAGTAGGGACTATAGTAAATATAAGCTTTCAAAAGCTGTTTGATAAAGACCTTTCCAAGAGTCTAATAAAGAAACTTGGCAACAATGGGATGAAAAGGAAAGTCCTGTCATGGATTAGAAAGTGGGTCAGCGCTGATAGGAGGAGGAAAAATATCCATTAAAAGTAAATGGCTAGTGTTCCAGCGGGGAAAGAAAAGCTTGCTGAGGTGGGGGAGGTAGGACCACGTGCGGAGGAGATGAAAGCAGCCCTCCCGATACCGTTTCAAAAAACAGAAACAGGGGAAGAGGGATAACATGGCAACGACATTTGCTGCCAACATGCAATTATTTATTATAGCTGCAAGCACGGCTAGGCAGGGCTGGGAGGCGCTCCAGAAGCTTCTAACTGAAGTAGGAAACCAAACCACAATGACGGAGAAAGTTCAGCGCACACAAACGCCAAAGCAAGCTGTTTTGGAAGAAATCGGACGAGCCATTCGCACACGGCAACGTGCTCGGAATTAGGCGTTAGCTTGCAGGGGTCAGCAATGCACAGGGGAAGCGACTGCTCCAGCACTGTTCGTAAAAGGTCTGGCCCCTGGATCAGCATGAAAAATAGGTCATCATATAACCTGGTAAGACATTGTCACACACTGCACTCCCTGTCAGCTTGCCCACTTGGAAAGGTCACAGCAGCAGGACCTAAAGAAACATCATAAGAAAG